AAAAATTAATAATTTAAATCTGGAGCTAGCCGCAATTAACTATAACATTGGGACGTCGAACACCTCACTCCCCCCCTCCCGTGACCAGGGGTGCTGTAGCATGGCTCTACCACGTATATAATATAAGAAATCATTATCCTTTGATAATGATTTCTCCTCAGATGAACTGATCAGTTTAACTGACCATGTGTGTCGACCATTACTCTCCGGCCAATGCAGGAACCACAAGGTTTTTGTTACAAATAGTATATTATTACTTAATAATTATTGAAAGTTAATTGTTCGTAACTAGTTCGTAAATAACCAAACCAGTAAGAAACCCAAAGGGGTTATATTTTTTTAAACACATAATAGAACAATGGTAACAAACGAGCACATAGTCCACTTGATGGTAATTGGATGCTGAGGCCTGTCGATCAAGATTCAATCTGTAGATCAGTTGTCACCACCTGAGGACTAAGATGGAGTGCCTCGTTAAATGCGTAGGAATGCGTCGTAAAAGGTATTTATTGACAAACTTTGAAAAAAAAAATAACGTAGGGCGTTACCACTAAAATAAAATTTCTGGTATACCATTTACATAATGCTAATATTTGATCTATTCATATTATTTCACCATTTTTTGTAATAGAAATATGTTTAACAACTAACTGCTCGGTAACATGAGACACCGACAAAATAACAGCGCTGTGGCCGTGGCAGCCCTGCTGCAGCATCATGCTGAGTCGGATGCCTTTTCGTTTGCTGCAACCCAAGGTACTTGTGTATATGAGATTTTTGTTGGCTTTTAAGTTGTAATTTCTTTATATTTTACATTTCTTAAAATTAATGAAATATTGTAAAGAAAATATTACCTCGTCTAAAATATTCTAAAATACAGCAGTTGTTCACATATCTATGGCTTGAACATCTTTAAACACGACCTTGAGTATTGGCAAATCATTAATAACCTGCCATTACATATAATAATCTCGAGTATGTAGTGATTAAGTAGCGATTCAATCCGATACACATACGAGCGATTCACTTCCTGACTTCCTTGCGGTTTGCCGACCTCGGCAGCGCCCGCGAACCGCGCCCCTGACTCCTGACCTATTATGCGCTCCGCGTAACAATATCGTGTGTCAGGAAGATTTATTGCGTACTGAAATGATCATAAAACGGATAAAGTCTTTGCAGCGAAGTATTACTTATATGTGTAGTACCCCATATAACCCGTGCGTGTCGTAAAAGGCGACGCGGGGAAACAAATCAGGAGATGGCAGATGCGTTTTCTTAATAACTACTAAAAAAATGCGGTTGAACTATGGCCACAGAAATCTAAATAATAATTGCCTTATTAGATAACTCTTTATTGCATTTGAACAAAGTTGTTACAATAACGGAAAACGTATAACTACAAACGGTGGTCATATCGCTTTAAGCGATTTCTGCTGACAAATTGAACATAAAAGGATATTATAATTTTATATTTTGATGGATAGGTGCAACGTGCAAGATAAAATAAACTGAAAAAAAAATATTAAAATAATATTTATAAAAATATATTAATAATAAACAAAATTATATATATATACTCTTTACAGCCCTTCACAAGTCCACTGATGAACACATCTTTCTTCCAGAAGCGGCCCCAGCCAGGTGAAGTGGACCTGGTCGAGCCCCGACGGTTCGACAAAAAATGAGATTGACTTCATTATGACGACCAGACGCCAACTGTTCAGTGATGTCTCAGTGATCGCAAGGGTGAAAACTGGCAGCGATCACCGAATGGTTAGAGCAAAAAGTTAAGTTGGAGAGGTCTCGTCTAATGAAGTCAACGCTCCGTCCCCCCTCGTGCTCTAATCCAGAATTCTGAAACCTTTCAGCTCGAGTTACGTAACCGCTTTCAGTGCCTAGAAGATTGCAATGCAGTGGACGATATGAATGACAAGCTCGTGGAAACTGTCCATGCGGTCGGAGCTAAGTTCTGCAAGACCCGCCGCAGAAGAACACAAAAACTCTCCGATCACACTCTTAATCTCATGGCTGTTAGACGGGAGATGAGGCTGCAATCGTCAACAGATTTGACAGCATACAGGCAACTGAACAGACAGATCTCCACATACATGCGGCGAGACTTGCGCAACTTCAATACTGCTCGTATTGAAGAAGCGATCGAGCGGAACCAGGGCTCCAAAGTCTTTGCCAGAGATCTGTCTGCCAGAAAGAACTAACTTTCAAAGCTGAAGACTGAGTGTAGCAACATCCTTTCCGGGACACCTGAGATTCTGAGTGAGATTGAGAGGTTCTATGGGCAGCTGTACACATCATCGTTGGAGCCACACGCAAGTGTGAGTAACGATCCAAGAGCAAGTCTTATCCGACACTATTCCGATGATATCCCGGACGTCAGTCTGAGCGAGATTATAATGGCTCTCCACCACCTTAAAAACGGTAAGGCCCCGGGCGAGGATGGAATTACAGCGGAGCTTCTGAAAGCGGGTGGAACACCGGTACTTGAAGTCCTTCAGAAGCTCTTCAATTCCGTCCTCCATGGTGGTACTACTCCGGAGGCGTGGAGCAGAAGCGCGGTGGTTTTGTTCTTTAAGAAAGGCGACAACGCTCTCTTGAAGAACTACAGACCGATTTCCCTTCTGAGCCGCGTCTACGTGCTGTTTTCGAGAGTCATTACAAATCATCTCGCACGCAGACTCGACGACTTCCAGCCTCCCAAACAAGCCGGTTTCCAAAAAGGCTTCAGTACCATAGACCACATACATACCATGCGGCTGATCGTACAAAAGACCAAAGAGTACAATCTGCCACTTTGCCTAGCATATGTGGACTATGAGAAAGCCTTTGATTCCGTCGAAATTTGGGCGGTGCTACAGACCCTTCAGCGGTGCCAAGTTGACTGTCGGTATATCGAAGTGCTGAAGTGTTTGTACATACAGTGCCCTACGATGGCTATCCGAGTACAGAACCAGAGTTCGTAACCTATTCAACTGCAGAGGAGGTGTAAGACAGGGTGATGTTATATCGCCGAAAGTCTTCACGGCTGCGTTGGAAGACGTTTTCAAGCTACTGGACTGGAAAGGATACGGTATTAACATCAATGGCGAGTACATCACTCACCTTCGATTTGTCGACGATATAGTCCTTATGGCAGAATCGCTGGAGGACCTTAGCACTATGCTCGTCTCCCAACGATAGGGCTCAAGATGAACATGGACAAAACAAAGATCATGTTTAATGTCCATGTCACACCTATGCCGGTAGTTGTTGGGAGCACTATGCTCGAAGTTGTTGACGAGTACGTTTACCTGGACAAATAGTCCGACTAGGTAAGTCCAACTTCGACCGAGAGGTCAATCGACGGATTCAACTCGGCTGGGCAGCGTTCGGGAAATTACGACACATCTTCTCGTCAGGTATACCTCAATCTCTGAAAACTAAAGTGTATAACCAGTGCGTGTTGCCAGTGATGACTTACGGATCTGAGACGTGGTCCTTCACTGCTGGCCGTATAAGGACGCTCAAGGTCGCTCAGCGAGCTGTGGAGAGGGCTATGCTAGGAGTTTCTCTGCGAGATAGACTCGGAAATGAGGATATCCGCAGTAAAACCAGAGTGACCGACATAGCCCAACGGATTAGTAAGCTGAACTGGCAATGGGCCGGCCATATAGCTCGAAGAACCGAAAATAAAAAAAAAAAAAAAAAAAAAAATATGTATATATACCTGTATATAGCGCAGAGAAAAATTAACAAAAAATAATCAAGTATTTAAATGAAAAGAGGAAATACATATTATTTGTTATTATGACGGGAACTTCAAATAATACTCCATAAGTAGTTTTTTAAAAGACTGTAAAGATGCTTTCTGAATGTTATGTTTATGTGTGGTAATGAATTCCAAAGTCGCGTTGCTAGTGACGTAAATGATTTATTATAAAATGAAGTTACGCGGTAAGGAGTATTTAAAGTCAAGCTATACACTGAACGCAAATTGCGGTTATGAAATTCATGTCGATAGTGAAATTGTTCCTTAAGGTATCTTGGAGATTTCGGATCAAACAGTACACAATAAAGTAAAGAGAGTATATGAACATTCCGGCGAAGGCGAATAGGGAGCCACTTGAGTTGATTTCGAAATTGGGATAGATGATCAATTATTGTTTAGATTTCTGTGACTGGCAAATATGGCTGATATTTTTTGCACCTTTAACGCTACAGCCCGTCGCCGATCTGGGTATTTTACGTTTGACGCAAACAGACTCACCAATTAAACTTTTTATCGCAATTAGTATTTCAAATTCATGTTTCCCTGTATTTTTTGCTGAAGAATTACATTGTGAAGAGAGCTGATTACCTGGAAATTTATATATTATATTGGACTGATAATTAGATATATCTTAGAATGTTATAGAATTATCTAATCTACGTCAAAACAATTTGTAAATAATAACTCTTCTAAACAGCACAATACGTTTTATTTTCAGTCGATTTAAAAAAAGGTGGAGGTTCATATGCTCTTTATTTTTATATGTATGTTATGCTATATTTTTTTCTATTGTGAACAGATTTAAATTATACTTTTATCATTGGTAATAAAAGTAAATGTATTAAATTCACAATACTAAATGTTAATCATTATTACCAGTGTGCTTTTAAATGGTAAGGAGCTGAGTTTTGTGGGATCCACTGTTTTTCACGGAATTACAGCTGACGCTTCAATGGGGGCCGTCATTTTGCTGGTTAGTAGACTTAGTTCTGCAGCATATGCTGTAAAAATATCAAGCCGGCTATACATGATGGCCGAGTGCAGACTTGGGATCGCTTGCCATGACTAGTCTCACTTAGGAGCAGTGTCGATTTTTCTGCACAAATCAAAGGCGCTCGTCCGCACTCGACAAGTCGTGTCCACGTGTTAGTTGATCATATCAGTAATTTTACTCTTCTAAACTTGTACTACATGTAGACTGTAGTCCTCGCGTTAAATGAATTTCCCTACGCTCGCATTGGCTGTGGCTCCGTCGCGACTCGCGACATACCTGCTTGGAAGGTACGGGCCCACCGAACAGGCTGTACCCGAGCACGGCGTCGGAGAACGCGAAGAGGAGTGCACCAGCCCGCTGGGACCGGGACAGGAAGATCCGCTCCACGCCATGGTAGCCAGCAATGCCGAGTACACGTGCACTGCGGGCGTCAGTGATCCAGCATGGAGCGTGGTCACGTATAGTGATGTGGCCAGCGCGCACGCCGCGGCCAGAGCTGGCTGAAATAGCCGTAGCCCAAACGCGGCCTCATAATAGCGCCATGCCGGCCACCAGTAGTTGGAAATCATCCATACGTACCTTCATCAGACTATTCTAATATAAGTTCTATGAAACGTTTGTTTTGATAAATCATAAAAGGTATTTTAAAAGACATGAGTGTCAAAACACATGATAACATTCGGCCATTCGAGAACTGTCGTACGTATTGGCGAACTTCACATGTCTTCGAAATATTTTTTTTCCTATTTCTCAAAAGTTCAGGTTTCCGCACGATGTCTTTCTTCACCGCCATGTACGTGGTAAATCAGCACTTAAAATTGCAATTAAAAATTTCTCGGCGGTGGGGATCGAACCCGGGTTGGTCACGTACTGTGAAATTTACAGCGAGCACTTAGCTCCTGAGCTGCCACGGCTCTCAAGAATACCACTATTGTAATGATTTTTGAAATTTTACAACATAATAATTCCTACATTAGATTCTTTTAAAAGTTCAGTGATGAATATAAGTCTTTGTGCCAGACTCAGTTTACGTATACACGTTTTTTCGTAAATATGTCATGTACTTTCTTCTCTAGTCAAAGATTACGATTTACGACCGTCATCGTCCGATAACGCACGAAAACGGCCGATCAGCCGTCGAGTCCGAACTTGTTGGGATTTCTCGCCCGACTGCCGGCGTCTACAGTGCAAATTGAGTGTATTTATAGTTTAATTTAATCATTTTGTCTTTATTCTGTTGTTTCTGTCAGTGTTGCTATCTACCTAAACGACTACGAATATTGAAAATATAAAAATAGAAAAGAATACCAGCAACGTCCAATGTCGGCACAAGTGGTACACTGTTGCAGTGTAAGCACATATACACGTCCGAGTTACTCGTCCGGGTAGTTTTGCCCGCCATCGACCGACAAATTCCACAAAGAAACTAGGGAGCAATTGTTTTTACAAATTGTCTCTAGGGTTGCTACAGTAAAAAACTCAAATGCAAGAGCAAATTTTGGAAAAAAAATATTCCATTGCCAAACCACGCTGCGCTGCGTCAGGTGTAGAGCACAAAAAGTGGGAAATATCTGATGTACAAGGTTGTCATAAGTAAACAAGGTGCAATTGTCTTTGTTCATATTTTTTACATTTCAAACACGGATTTACCAATTGAAGTAAATTCACATTCGATGTTATCGAAAACGAATTATGTTAAGGTAATTAACACAAGCTTAAATTTAATTTTAATAAATGTAATCGCGTAAATATAGCATTTAATTACTCTCATTATTTAATTAACCATTATCATTACAGTTTCCTGAAGCCCATTACTGAACATACGCCTCCTCCATAGATTGACCAATTGGGGGGATATTTGACATAGTAGCCATGCGTGGCAAGCGGGTTGGCAACCGCTGTTTATTTGTCCACTTACGCCACCCACGGGATATGGGGTACCTAGTGGATATTCTTACACCGCCACTATACTGTGTAATTAGTTAACCGTTTCGTTACAATTACTGATGACTAGCACAGCCTAAGAAAAACATTCAGTCAGTCATCGCGTTTGAAGTTTTTTTTAAAGAATAGGTTGACAAACGAGCACACGGTCCAACTGATGGTAAGTGGTTGCTGTGGTACATAGACATCTACATCTGTCCTCGATTACGAATCAAAATGCAGATGCGTTTTCACCCGTGAGGACTAAGATGGGATGCCTCGTTTCCAGTAAAAAGGGTCTCCGGTTCTCTACACTCACATACGAAACACAGCAGCATTAAAGCTACTATTTTACGCTGGTATTCTGTGAGAGTGTGGCCCTTCCCCGGTCGAGTCGACCCATTCGTGCTACAACTATACTACTAATATAACTGCAGCATGGCTCTACCACGTATAAAAAAAACGTTGTCGGAGAAACCAATATAAAAAATAAATAATTGCTAGGTTTGTCAGAACGGGCAGTAATAAAAAGATTATTTTGTTTTAGTTTAAACACATTTCTATATATGGAAACTGATGAAACTTTGAACCAACAACCTTCCTGTGAACCATTTTAATTTATTTGCGGGACAGGAAAACCCAAACGGACCCCTTCTGGTGCGACTAAGGCCTGCTACATTCATACGGAATTCCGAAACGGAACGAACGGGTCGGCACAAACAAACGGAATCCAGTTTTGCCTGCAAAATTTCGAACGGAAAACTACCGTAGGTGTGTGACAGGACCTTCATTTTATATGGACTTGCTGCGTTCGGAATCTCGAATCTGAATTCTGAAACGGAATCCCAAAACGGAATTCCGTGTGTTTTCCTGTCTCGCAAATAAATTAAAATGGTTCACAGTTCACTACATGTGCGGTAAAGAACTGTGGTGTTTCATCAGTTTCCACATGTACAGGAATTTGTTTATACATGAAATAAAATAAAATAAATTTTTTATGTATGTGGCAAGCCTAAGAGGGAAACTTCCTATAGTTATATATCTAGAACTTTGCAGATTTTTTTAAATTGTTATCAGAAAGATACTGCAGCCCATCTCCTGGTTTGTTGCCCTCTGTCGCCTCTGACGACACCCTCCGTTATTAGGAAGACGCTGCAGCCCATCTCCTGGTATGTTGCCCTCTGTCGCCTCTGACGACACCCTCCGTTATTAGGAAGACGCTGCAGCCCATCTCCTGGTTTGTTGCCCTCTGTCGCCTCTGACGACACCCTCCGTTATTAGGAAGACGCTGCTGCCCATCTCCTGGTATGTTGCCCTCTGTCGCCTCTGACGACACCCTCCGTTATTAGGAAGACGCTGCAACCCATCTCCTGGTTTGTTTCCCTCTGTCGCCTCTGACGACACCCTCCGTTATTAGGAAGACGCTGCTGCCCATCTCCTGGTATGTTGCCTCCTCTGTCGCCTCCGACGACACCCTCCGTTATTAGGAAGACGCTGCAGCCCATCTCCTGGTTTGTTGCCCTCTGTCGCCTCTGACGACACCCTCCGTTATTAGGAAGACGCTGCAGCCCATCTCCTGGTATGTTGCCCTCTGTCGCCTCTGACGACACCCTCCGTTATTAGGAAGACGCTGCTGCCCATCTCCTGGTATGTTGCCCTCTGTCGCCTCCGACGACACCCTCCGTTATTAGGAAGACGCTGCAGCCCATCTCCTGGTTTGTTGCCCTCTGTCGCCTCTGACGACACCCTCCGTTATTAGGAAGACGCTGCTGCCCATCTCCTGGTATGTTGCCCTCTGTCGCCTCTGACGACACCCTCCGTTATTAGGAAGACGCTGCAGCCCATCTCCTGGTATGTTGCCCTCTGTCGCCTCTGACGACACCCTCCGTTATTAGGAAGACGCTGCAGCCCATCTCCTGGTATGTTGCCCTCTGTCGCCTCTGACGACACCCTCCGTTATTAGGAAGACGCTGCAGCCCATCTCCTGGTATGTTGCCCTCTGTCGCCTCTGACGACACCCTCCGTTATTAGGAAGACGCTGCAGCCCATCTCCTGGTATGTTGCCCTCTGTCGCCTCTGACGACACCCTCCGTTATTAGGGAAGACGCTGCAGCCCATCTCCTGGTTTGTTTCCCTCTGTCGCCTCTGACGACACCCTCCGTTATTAGGAAGACGCTGCAGCCCATCTCCTGGTATGTTGCCCTCTGTCGCCTCTGACGACACCCTCCGTTATTAGGAAGACGCTGCAGCCCATCTCCTGGTATGTTTCCCTCTGTCGCCTCTGACGACACCCTCCGTTATTAGGAAGACGCTGCTGCCCATCTCCTGGTATGTTGTCCTCTGTCGCCTCTGACGACACCCTCCGTTATTAGGAAGACGCTGCAGCCCATCTCCTGGTATGTTGCCCTCTGTCGCCTCTGACGACACCCTCCGTTATTAGGAAGACGCTGCTGCCCATCTCCTGGTATGTTGCCCTCTGTCGCCTCTGACGACACCCTCCGTTATTAGGAAGACGCTGCAGCCCATCTCCTGGTATGTTGCCCTCTGTCGCCTCTGACGACACCCTCCGTTATTAGGAAGACGCTGCTGCCCATCTCCTGGTTTGTTTCCCTCTGTCGCCTCTGACGACACCCTCCGTTATTAGGAAGACGCTGCTGCCCATCTCCTGGTTTGTTTCCCTCTGTCGCCTCTGACGACACCCTCCGTTATTAGGAAGACGCTGCTGCCCATCTCCTGGTATGTTGCCCTCTGTCGCCTCTGACGACACCCTCCGTTATTAGGAAGACGCTGCAGCCCATCTCCTGGTTTGTTTCCCTCTGTCGCCTCTGACGACACCCTCCGTTATTAGGAAGACGCTGCAGCCCATCTCCTGGTTTGTTTCCCTCTGTCGCCTCTGACGACACCCTCCGTTATTAGGAAGACGCTGCAGCCCATCTCCTGGTATGTTTCCCTCTGTCGCCTCTGACGACACCCTCCGTTATTAGGAAGACGCTGCTGCCCATCTCCTGGTATGTTGCCCTCTGTCGCCTCTGACGACACCCTCCGTTATTAGGAAGACGCTGCTGCCCATCTCCTGGTATGTTTCCCTCTGTCGCCTCTGACGACACCCTCCGTTATTAGGAAGACGCTGCAGCCCATCTCCTGGTATGTTGCCCTCTGTCGCCTCTGACGACACCCTCCGTTATTAGGAAGACGCTGCTGCCCATCTCCTGGTATGTTGCCCTCTGTCGCCTCTGACGACACCCTCCGTTATTAGGAAGACGCTGCTGCCCATCTCCTGGTATGTTGCCCTCTGTCGCCTCTGACGACACCCTCCGTTATTAGGAAGACGCTGCAGCCCATCTCCTGGTATGTTGCCCTCTGTCGCCTCTGACGACACCCTCCGTTATTAGGAAGACGCTGCTGCCCATCTCCTGGTATGTTGCCCTCTGTCGCCTCTGACGACACCCTCCGTTATTAGGAAGACGCTGCAGCCCATCTCCTGGTTTGTTTCCCTCTGTCGCCTCTGACGACACCCTCCGTTATTAGGAAGACGCTGCTGCCCATCTCCTGGTATGTTGCCCTCTGTCGCCTCTGACGAC